CAATATACTAGGAACCTATTTCCTCAACTCTCAAGACTCTCTATTCGTCGATCCACAAATCGAATAACTTCAAAAACTACTTTTATCCTATTGGACACCTCTCTTCTTCACTGCTACAAAGCTCACCAAGCTCGTTGCTAACTGGAGTTCACCTCGTCCGTCTTCACTTTAGGTTCAGTCTTTATACTGTGAGGTGACATCACAATTCTGAATGCGATCACTCCCCTCATTTACATACTTATTTGCTAACAATAAATTTTTCTATTTGTCTGGCAGCCTATTTTCCTACAACACTCGCTAACATTTTACATTATTCTTTTTTACAATTTTCGGGATGTTTTATTCTTTTAAGGTTTAGTGAATTTAAGTTGTGCTTGTGGGGTCTTCTCCCCCCCTTTTTCTCGGTGCAGACTTACTTTTTTCCGCTTGGGAACGCAAGTGTGCGTGAGTTTTTTTCTACGGCGCTTTTCTCTCATTGGTGAGTTGGTTTCTCTTCTATTTTTAAGTTTCTAAGGTGAAATGGTGAGGAAACCTTCGTCCTAACAAAACATAAGCCCCAAACAAAAATGTAATAAAAAAGCAAAATAAAAGTAAATAAAAATAATGCTCGGACTTGGTTCCTTACACAACTTATCAATCATGTATGACAGTTTCCAAGTTAAAGCTGAAAACTAGTTATTGCAGTTAACTTGATAAGGATGACATGTCAATGAGCTGCTTGGCAATGACTTCTGCCTACTACAATACTGTTCCAAATTTGAACCCTGATGTTTCCTGAAATTGGTTATTTCAAACTGTTAAAATAATATGTATTTTTAAATAATTTTGTTGCCTACAGTTTTTACTGTTACTAAAATATTTGCCAATGGATTATGTATGTTTCTAGTGTCAATTTACAATAATTGTTCTGAATAAATAAGTTAAAAGTTGTTTCAAAACAACTCTTGAATTTCTAATTGATGTATAAAAAAATTGCTTGAGAACTATCTGGAAATGCAACTCTAGACAATGGCACTGGCTCCATTTTACTGACGATGATAAAAACTTTGATCCACTCACTTTAATAGTTCCAAACCAAATAAGATCAATCAGTTTATATTTGTAAGTACAGTAAAAAAGCAATAAAAAAAGTAATAAAATTAGTCCATTCCAAGTAATTAGGTCAATGATAGGTGTACTAGTCAAAAAATGCTAACAAATAAAATACAAATTATTTTGTTTAATTAATCTATATATTAAATGAGAGGGGGTTTCACTCTGTCTGACTTACTTTGAGTAAACAGCTGGAGCTGAAAATATGGTTCAGGTATCAAATCTCTTACTCTGTAGAGGATGCTGCTGAAGAAAGATTTGAGAAAGGTGCTATGGTTCAGGCATGGCAGAGTGGCAAAGGTTTGTTTACAATGTTAAGTCTAGATGATAAATATGTCAGGTACTTGTATGTCTTCTAGTGATTTAGTTTTTTTAACCGTACCTGCTACTTTTGCTAAATTTTGAATTTTGCATTATTTTTTAACATTAATTCTTAATTTTATGATATTTAAATTTATTAATATTAAATCTATGAAAAATAAAAGTAAGTGTTTATAACAGTTGTGAGGGCCAGGATAGCCTAATTGACACCAGCTGTGAAGTTCCTATAGCCTTCCATAGCCTTCAGGGCCTTATCACTGAATGTAAATGATTACGCTAGAAATTCCTAACACCATGTAGGTTAAATCTACTAGACATTTTGAGTGTTTTTATGGATGGTAATGATGTGATCTCATATATGAGACTATGGTAAAAGGATAGAGTAGGAAATGATGAGATTCAGTTGGAAGGAGTCACTCAACACAATTAACTACACTTAAACATTTATTAGATAGCATGAAAGTTTGTACAGTGTGGTATCCGTCTTAAGTAAGACAGTATTTGCAGTTGCATATGTTGTTATCATAGAGAAAGAGTTTTACAAATTTCGGGAGATTCAAATCTTGACAAATAATTCCCATATTGGAGCACAGACAAACAGTTCTTCACGTCAGAAAATAGTTGTCAAGGAGACAGAGCTTTAGACAATCTGTGTAGAGTAGCACTCGGACAAATTCAGTAGCACTCGGACAAATTCAGATGAAGCACACGTCCGACTGGATGGGAAGGCACAAAACATTAATCCCTACAACTTGGAGAATGGGCACTGACTGACTAAAATTGGCCATTCTTGTCATATTGAAAAGTGCAAAATTCTCAAAAGGTGACTAAGGGTCGAGGGAAAGGTTTCATAAAGTGTCACCATTGTCTCTGAAAAAGTTTAAGTTGACACTCTCTCAGGTCATAAAGTTGACATATACCATCTTCTGATGAGATTGTCATTGGGTTGTTTTTCTTTGTTCTGTTCAATTCTTGCACAAAGTTGTCATTATTATGCATAGTTAAACTGTATGCTTTTTTCCTATTTTTTTTTTTTTAATTATTTTCCTTATATAATTGATAATTTCACCTTAATGTAAGCTGTTTATCTTAATTAACATACTAATTACATTACAATTAGCCTACTTTTAATTTAACCATTCATTTTCTTATTTAACATTGGGGAACATGAGCAAAAGAAGTAAGTCTGCAATCCTCAGCATCAGACAACTAAATGAAATTAGCTCTAGAACAGGTTCGAACCTCAACAAACTTGCATCACTCAAGTTGAATATTGTAGTAGAAACAACTTTCATTTTAGTGGCTGTTACCATAATGGAAAAGTGGAGTTGTATTCTACCCATTCTCATGATGATCTTGAGAACATTCTGCATGGAAAACTGTAACTACTTGAGAATACCTAGCAATATATTCTTGAGATAACAAGAGAATTTCTGCACACAACTGAGATCCATCACATAAGTTAACATTAAAAATCAGAGCCATAGTCATGCTCATCAGGAATCTTGACACTAAAAAGGGTTGATTAATGGAATGAGATTAATTAAATGTGGTCTGTTTAACAACACAATCAATGTACAGATCCTGACAGTGAACACTGTGGAGGGAGATTGGGTCTTTGCTTTCTGGTTATTGAGGGAGTAAGTTTATTGTTGTGTTCTTTGTTTTGATTTATTATTATGAATAATTTTTTGAGTTTGTTTCTGTTTCTTTTTACTGCTATCCACATGCTTACTCAGATACCATTTCTCTTTTACAATTATACAACTTCAATTTCCCATTATCCAGGCATTCACCATGACAATGAACAAAAGTCAAGGACAGATATTCAGTCTTCTTCTTCTTGTGAAATTAAATAATGACAAAGTTTGTCAATAACAAATCAAATATTTAATTAATTTCTAGTAATAAACTATTTACAAAATTTAGTAAAAATCAAATAACAATTTATTCAATGAAAATCAATAAGAATCAACCCGACAAAACTCAAATCAATCTAGTTTCTAACTTAATTCTATTCCCCTTTGGAATTCGACAAAAATTCAAAGACTTAACTTATATACAATAATTCTTATGAATTAAAGATCCTAATCGTCACCTCAATATACTAGGAACCTATTTCCTCAACTCTCAAGACTTTCTCTATTCGTCGATCCACAAATTGAATAACTTCAAAATCGCCTTGGAACTACTTTTATCCTATCAGACACCTCTCTTGTTCACTGCTACGAAGCTCACCAAGCTCGTTGCTAACTGGAGTTCACCTTATCCGTCTTCACTTGATGTTCAGACTTTATACTGTGAGGTGATGTCACAATTCTGACTGCAATCACTCCCCTCATTTACATACTTATTTGCTAACAATAAACTTTTTCTATTTGTCTGGCAGCCTATTTTCCGACAATACTCGCTAACCTTTTACAGTATTCTTTTTTACAATTTTCGGGATGTTTTATTCTTTTAAGGTTTAGCGAATTTAAGTTGTGCTTGTGGGGTTTTCTCCCCCCTTTTCTCGGTGTGGACTCACTTTTTTCTACGGCGCTTTTCTCTCGTTGGTGAGTTGGTTTCTCTTCTATTTTTAAGTTTCTAAGGTGAGGAAACCTTCGTCCTAACAAAACATAAGCCCCAAACAAAAAATATAATAAAAAGCAAAATAAAAGTAAATAAAAATAATGCTCGGATTTGGTTCCTTACAGTGTGGCGCACAGCAACCTGTCGACCTTTCTTTTATGTACGATCGTACATGTCTTAAATAGAGCTAAATTATCTGTACACTGTAACTGATTTGCATGCACGTTATTCTTTGCATTGTAAAATGACATTGCTCATGCGTCAGGAACTTCTGTTCGAACAAACCTGACCTCCCTTCNTTAAATGCGAGAGATGCTGAGAGCCTGTCGTCAGCATGGAAGTACATGATTAAAAAGCTCACTAAAGACTCAGGCTAGAATTAGTTTATTGAAAGATTTATTATATTTTTTATTTTATTTTGTGTTAAGTTTATATATTCTTCCGTTTCTCTTGTATATTTTTAAAAATTTTTGTTTGAAGTTTTGATTTGAATATTTGTATTCTATACATAGAACGTATCTGTTCTATTTTCATTTTTTGGACCTGATGATGGCCTGTTAATCAGGCTGAAAACGTTAGTTTTTCAATTATTTTTCTCAGCAACAAATTAAGGTGTGTTATTTTCTGTGTTTACTCAGCACTACCTTCCTCATCCTAACTCTGCAAAGACCAGCAAAAAAAGTGTCCTATACTCCCCACACATGCCCTCAGGTAACCTCCACTTCATTGTTTTTGTGATTCCAAGAAGTGGTCCTCACCGTCCAGGGGAAAAGATTAAGGCTAGAAGGTTCCAGAAATAAGAAAGAACAAAGGAGAAATGCTAAAAATAGGAACTAAACTAAAATTATACAATGGTGTAAAGCCACAGCAGAAATAGTCTTTTTTTCTTAATATGTAAATTATTAGTGCCTTCACCTTATTATGCAATAGATTTTCTAATCTAAAAATTGAAGGTTTTGTAAAATTTTCTAATTCTTAATACACAAACATAAAATATCTCAATTTATTTTACATAGGTTTGCTTGTATTTTACAAGTCATGCCATCCTGCGCAGCTGCTAACTGCACCAATAACCCAAGAAAAGGATATCGATTATATACATTTCCAAAAGATGTAAAGAGAAGGCAACTTTGGGCCAAAATTTGTGGAAGAATAAATTGGGAACCAACTGTTCACAGTAAATTGTGTGAGGTAAATTAAATTATTATTTTTTATTCTGTATTAAATTTAATTAAATTATAATTTATTAATATATTTTTAATGAATTTATAGGTGCATTTTGAAGAAAATCAGTTTTCAGTAAGAGAGTGTGATGGACGACGATTTTTGAAACCAAATTCAATTCCAACATTATTTACAAATCATCAAATAACTGAAAATGGGCAAACACAAATGGAAACTATTCAAGAAGAAACACCTGAATCATTTTTAAGTAAAAATGATTTTTAAAATTTATTATTGTTTGCTTTATAAAAGTGCATGAAATATGCTTTGATATCATATATTTACAAAGCTACAATTGATTTCATTTAGCAATTCACTAATTGACATGAAATGCTTGATTGAAGCAGACTTCTTACAGAAAAATGAAATGGTACAGTTCAAAAGGAACACCAAGCACATTATTAAAAAATCTGAAATTTTAAAAAATTAAAATATTTATGTAGATAATTTGACTAAGTTATTGCATGATTTCTAATATTCATACAAGGAAAACTAAAATTAAGTTTAAATTTGAAAATTTAAGCAGTTAATGATAAGCTGTAAATTAGGCAAAAAATATGATATATTCAGTTAATATCTAACATGAATATTGTTATTTTATGAATTTTATTTTATTCAGCCATTAACTCTGCTTTTTCTTATACTTATTTTTTCCATAGTTGTTTAACGTAATCACATGAAGAAAGATTTGTCTCTTCAAAAATACTTAATAAAACAAAGCATCAAGACTAGGAAAACATCCATATTTAAAATAGAAGGAATAAGGCAAATAATTATCATCAAGTTGCCTTATAAGTTGCATTTACAGGGGTAATGATGAATACATTAATAATTTAATTAAAGGTAGATAGTTAAGTTGTCATTTTGTATTAAACAAATGTCTAAAATGAGAAAAGTATCAGGTCAGTCCATAATTCTGTGCACATTTTGTTCATACAAGTTTAGACATTGTTTTAGTGCAAATAAATTCTGATCAAATTCAAACTGATACTAGATGCAGTTGAATAGTTGCCAAGTTTAGCAGTGTTGTGCTTTTAAAATTATTTATCCCTGTTATTACAAATGAATACAAGAGATATATTTTATATTTTTTGTTCTTAGTGGAAAAAATGCTAAAAGGGCAGCAAAGGAAATTAACATTGTGCATTATCAAAATGTTGGTAGTATCGGAGCTGCCCAAAAGTGGTTTGAAAGGTTTAAGAAAAGTGATTTTAGTGTGAAAAATAAAGCTTGTTCAGGAAGACCAGTTTGATAACAATGTTCTCTCAATAGCAATAGTAGTAGAACCAAATTTAATTACTGATGAACCTGTAGACTGTTTAAATTCATTCTATGGACCCATCCAAAGACATTTAGAAGAAATTGGAAAAGTATTGAAGTTAGGAAAATGAGTGCTGCATGCATTATCACTGGCTAATTGATAGCTGCAAGTATATATATGCATTCCTCTAATTTCATATTTTGCTTTGGTATCTTTCTTTGACTGGCTTGTTACTGGAGATAAGAAGTAGATCATTTATGATATTGTGACAAGAAAAAGACATTGGGCACATTGGGATCAACAGCCAACACTGACGGGAAAAGATGGGCTACATCAAAAAAAAATTCTTTTTGTATGTTTGGTGGGATATATCAGGTGTAATCCACTTTGAGCTGTGGAAACAAACCAAATGATTACAGCTGCAGTATATTTTGAGTAATTAGTATATTTACATGGAAAATTACATCAAAAACAGCCATCCCTAATTAATAGAAAAAAATGTTTTGTTGCAACATGACACGGTCAGACTACACACACTGCAAAACCAACCCTCAAAAAAATGGAACACTACAGTTGGGAAATTTTACCACACTTGCCATATTCACCAGACTTGGCACTAACTGATTACTGTTTATTTTGAGGCTTACAGAACATTTTAAAAGGAGAAAAATTTTTAAACAAAAATAGTGTTGAAAATGTAGTTGTCAAATATTTTGATTGTAATCCAAAACTTTTTATGAAAGCAGAATTAAAAAATTATTTTTATAGATGGCAAGAAGTACTGAAAAATGATGGTATATTTTGAATTAAAATAAATTTTAATATTATGAATTTTGTTTTTATTTTAACTACAAATGCACATGAGTTTATGGAATGATCTGATATACAGGGTGTTTATAAATGAATGGTGTGGTTTTAAAAATTAATAATACAGTAGAGCGTTGATTATCCGAAAGTCAATCATCCGAAACGTCAATTATCCGAAAGAATTCCAGTCGGCAAATTTAAATTTTTGCCAGTGCTGTGGCACTGCAATCTTTGGCTATGTCTTGGGCTACTCAAATATTTTACGTTTTTGATACTAAATTAACTTCTGAAGTATAATTTTTTATTGTTTTTATATTTTTCAATATATTT